GACACTTTTTAAGGATGTATTACAAAGAGTGGGCCAACGTTGGGCCAACATACTACTATCATCTTGATAAGACGCATTCTTTATGGATGTATTACAAACATCGGGCCAACATACTACTACCAACTGTAAAAGACACTTTCTTTAAGGGCGTATTACAAATATTGGGCCAACGTTGGGCTAACATACTACTACCAATTTGATAAGACACTTTTTAAGGATGTATTACAAACAGTGGGCCAACATACTACTATCAACTTGATGAGACGCATTCTTTATGGATGTATTACAAACATCGGGCCAACGTTGGGCCAACATACTACTACCAACTTTAAAAGACACTTTCTTTAAGGGCGTATTACAAACATTGGGCCAACGTTGGGCCAGCATATTACTACCAACTTTAAATGACACTTTCTTTAAGGGTTTATTACAAACATTGGGCCAACGTTGGGCCAACATACTACTACCAACTTTAAAAAACATTTTCTTTAAGGGTGTATTACAAAGAGTGGGACAACGTTGGGCCAACATCAACATCCCTCCTTCCTTGGGAAGTAAAGTGAATGGAAGTTGCTAACGTTGGACCAACGTTGGGCCAACATAGGCATTCTGTCATGGTCGAGAAGGTTGGCATGGTGACATTGGTCCAACGTTGGCCCAACGTTGTTCCCCCAACGCCAACCATACAACCTTTTGCCAATGTTGGCTCAACATAGTCTTGCTATCTGGGATATTTTAACTAGGATACGGGAGAGCCGAGTTCTAGCAATTACATCAGGATCGACACCTCAACCAGGCTGATGGAGATTTCCTCAGGGTCATCTTCACGCTCTTACATCTGTGCGGTCTATCCCTAAACATCCGGATCAGACCGAAAATTCACAACGAGGCTGATGGAGTCCGACACCACAACGAGTCTGATGGGAACTTCCGCAGGGTCATTTTCACGACATCTTACATCGATATCTGCGCGGTATATCCCTGAACGTGCATTTATGACATTGTTATAAATAATCGTCGCTTATTCATGTGTTTATCTGATTTTCCCCCCAGAATTGGAATGTACAATGTATGATTAAAAGAAAAGTTTTGTGCATGCAGACTGAAGATTCCTAGCTCTGGATTTAACTCGAATTTACAAAGTCACAATAAGTCCTCCTAAAACATTGTTAGTCACTCTACAGGTGAAATGTTTTTACAGAGGAATGAGTGGCTACTGTTTTTTATTGTGTGTTTTTCCTAAATTTGATGGCCATGGTCTTGAACTTAAAAAATTGCCCTCTGTACTTCGATACTCTCTAGACTTTTGTACCTTGGTAAAAGACAAAGATTTTGGAAATACAAAATGCTCCTCTATCAGAATTGAAAGAAAAGAAGAGAATTAATTTGAATGTTGCATGAAAGGCATAACTATACGAGAATGCTAAAATAATTAACATGGAATAGCAACAATCTAGTTAAAATTAGATGTTCCATATCCGCTACCGTTTGAAAAGCAATTTAATTTTAATTAGATTGGGAATAGTAACAAATTATAATGTATTTGTTAATCATAAATTACTTGTGCGAAATGAATATACCCAATTTCAATAATAGTGTCCTTTTTGACTTACATATATTTCATTTTAACAAATAAAAAGAAAGAAAAAAATCTGGAACACCAGGCCTCGGGACCGTGAAGCATCTGAAGGTTAAATGAAAAAATGCATGTGGCGCTGACATTTTTTAGAAGTTGAGCTGCATGTTCAAAATGAAAATGCTTTTGAATTTTGTATAATCATCAATCTACTGTCACATGCTAAGTAAGAGTTTCATGTAAAAAGTTTCAAACTTTTTATAGATGATTGAAATTTTGTCTTAGGTCTAATTTAAGTATGATTTATGATTTTTGGGCCAAGAATGTCTTATACACGGATAAGAATTTATTGTCATCTCCCTCGGGAGATGACACATTAAGATTGTATGCCGGAAGTAAAGTCCTAGTGTAAGCCTCCATTAATTTTTCGGGAATCCTCGATGTTTTACAATATCTCAAGTGAGAATCTACACAAGGAGTTCCAAGTAGCTGTAAACTGGTTTTCTTTTAGAAGAACTAGCTTACAAGTGTGTGATGTACTTTCGGTTTAGGCCTATTTGCCTTGAAAGCCAAGGAAAATTTAGAAGTACGATGCTTATAAATATCTAAAGTTTTGGTGTGTCGTATATATATAGTGATCCTCAATAATATGCCTTATCAAATTGATAAGCCACACAAGGAGAACTGACAATGACGCGATTTCTATACTCACCGTCAATGGAAACGCAACACCCTAATTTTAGGATGAAAATTATATACAGGTTATAACTATGTATCAAAAAAGTTAGGACATCTTTTACTTTGCCAAATCAGTAATTTAACGGTTGAATGAATTTCTTTCCATTACCGGAAGTTGCTTTTTAGCCCTTTTAACAGAATTCAAAATTTTCCATTTTTAATAAAATTTTAACAATATTTTGGGTTTCCAAGGTTTTGAAACTGTTAATCATAAGTATTGTACTAAAAGGCCGGGAAAATCCTTCTTTCTTTACCGGATGTGCTGCCTATATTTCCTCAAAATGACTGATAGCAAGAAGGGGGGATGTTTTATGAGTTATGTGTTACCTTCAAAAGTTTAATGATAACATCAAAAATGAATATATTTAGGTAAAAAGTTAATTTACATAAAAATAATGCTCCATTTAAACATTAAATGTTGTTTTTAGACCTTAGAAAGAAACAAATACCCGTTAAATCTTATAACATCCCCCCTTCCGACCATTTAATGAAAACGTACTAGTCCGCCATATACAACAAATGCAGCCCGATTTCTACCATGCATTAAGTTTATCAATGTCTTAATCTGAGCGAAATCAATATTCTTGGGCATTTTTAAATACATTTTTTTCAGATATTGCGGTCGAATTTTCTCTAACCTGGCGTAGTGTAGCAACTTTTTGACTTCCGGTCAAGAAACTGCCATTTATGCTATTGAAACACATGAACCTGATGGGTCGTTATATAGTGTATATTTGCATCTGTAGCTCTTTTTTTCTTTATTTTGATAATTTCTAGCATTAGCAATGAAAATCAGTCATTTTGAGGAAATATAGGCATCACATCTGTTAAAGAAAGAAGGATTTTTTCCCGGCCTTTTAGAACAATACTTATGATTAACAGTTTCAAAACCTTGGAAACCCAAAATATTGTTAAAATTTTATTAAAAATGGAAAATTTTGAATTCTGTTAAGAGGGTTAAAAAGCAACTTCCGGTAATAGAAAGAAATTCATTCAACCGTTAAATAACTGATTTGGCAAAGTAAAAGATGTCCTAACTTTTTTGGTACATAGTTATAACCTGTATATAATTTTCATCCTAAAATTAGGGTGTTGCGTTTCCATTGACGGTGAGTATATATATAGATTTGTAGTAGTATCCATAGTTAAATCACTGCGTGGTACCCTGCCCCTCATTTTTCTTAAAAGTGAACAAAACGTAGGTATAGGTGGCTTCTTTCGAAAGGTTTAAATACTTAAGCTACGTGGGTAGGAATCATCTTTGGACTGTTCTTTCTTATGTTAAAATACTTGTCAGCTTAGTTTTGTTTGCTGAATGATAAGTCATTCGGGAACTTCAGGTATAATAATCCATATATTCATTGCATTAAAATATTTCCCTTTCTGTTTTATTTCTTTGACATTATTGATACCAAAGAGATGACATTTCAGGCTTTCTGGAAAGCCAAATTTGTAACCGTATTTTAATCATTATGATTATGAAGCTCATTTTCAATGATATTAAGTTTCATTATGTTACATTGTATTCAAATACCACGATAAAGGTACAAATCTGTTGTTAATGTTGACAAAAGTCGCTCATACACATTATCAAGTCATTGTAGTTTGAGATTAACCACTTTGATCACATACATACAACTACATTAAAGATGATCTGGAGTTTTTCATTGACAAGATTTATATAGTGTCCGGAGACCATGTTTCCGAGAAACCCGATGATTCCGATGAGAACTAATTGTGCTTCTCTATTAGCTGCCTGTTTTTATAAAAAAAAACTTCTACATGAGAGGAGAAAAACACTAGCTGTGGCCTTCAATTCGACATTAATAAAGTAGGTTGACGATAGACTATATTAATTAAACATAGTTATTTTCATTCATAGACTAGATATATCCATGAAATGGCACAACAGAGTCTGTCACATCTGTTTCATATTTGTGTGTTTTACGAACGATATTGCAAATGATAGACAATAAAGTCCAATTAACAACTAAATTGTATGCATCCACGTTCCGGATTCATTTATTATTATTACACTATATCTGGTGTTAATGTCTCCCAATTTTTTTGCTCCTTAAAATCTTACTCTGCGTACGATAATTTTTTATTGCCGGGCAGACTTCTCACTGATAAGTTGATGTTACAATGATAAAACAACCTCGTCCACTTTTCGTAAGTTTATGACCGTTGTTCCCAGATATCACTGAGTCGTAACTTGGACAACGTGTTTCAAACCATTTGTTAGACCTTTGTTTTTATATTGAACTGACTACGAAATATCCCTCTTCCAGGGGACCGTTTTACAGAAGAACTTACGATTAAGACCAATAACTTCAGTTTTAAAACTAAATATTGCAAGCGGTAAACTATACATAGCTTTTAAAAAGAATAAAAACGTTTTTTATATCTCATACAAATTAGAAAGTTACAAGCAGAATAAAAAAAAATCTAAATTTTAAAGTTTATTTCATAACAGCCTTTTCAACTTTCAAACAACTACGTTGAAGGAAAGTATTGTCAAAATGGAAGATAAAACTACTGAGGTTCGTAAAAAAAAAAGTAAGAAATATTCCCCAATGTTTTTGATTTTAAGCTTTGTCACTATATCTGGACTTTGATCTTAAAATCTTAGAAAACGAGAACAAACAGATTTTTTGTTTATTACTACATGTATGATTACCTGGTACAGTGTATTTAGAATGAAAAAAAAATTAAAGAAACAGCCTTCCTTCAACCGACTAATGATCCTTCAATGTTACCTCTACAAAAGAAAGATAAAAGCAATCATTTACTCAAAGCTTTATAATAAACAAAACATAAAGTATAGCGATGCAAAAGGTCTCAATTGTCCACATGTATAAAGTATGACTGGATAACTATAGCTGAATTTAAAATGTCGGGTTCCAGTACGTGGACCTTCAGATATCCGCACCCCAGATATCCGGATGCTTCAGTATCCCGACGACTTTTCATCGGAACAGAATTTGTAAATGTAATTTTGTCTTGTTTAACTGGTGATTCAGGTATGCGGACGTTTCACATATCCGGACAAATTGACTGGGAACCAAAGCGTCCGGATAAATGAGGCTCCACTGTACTCTGCAAAACCTTTGGCTCTGAATGTAGTGTACTTTTCGAAGAATGAGTCTGACAAGTGTTTTAATTTGCCACTTGTTTTCTACAAAGGATTATTATGCTTCCTGTCAGTTTGTCTAGATTTATAATCAACACCAAGCTATTGTTGCATAGTATTTTCAAATACGATATTCGGTGGAGAGAGAGAGAGAGAGAGAGAGAGAGAGAGAGAGAGAGAGAGAGAGAGAGAGAGAGAGAGAGAGAGAGAGAGAGAGAGAGAGAGAGAGAGAGAGAGAGAGAGAGAGAGAGAGAGAGAGAGAGAGAGAGAGAGAGAGAGAGAGACCTCATTTGCATCACTTCCTAGGATCCCGCAGGGGATTTCATTCTAGTGGAATGCAAAGGAGTTTTACTGGACATTTACTGAGCTATATCTTTCTGCATAGTAAATGTCAAGGGCACGTTTTCTATGTACTCCCAAAGGAACATGAGTTGTATATTTGATTTTTTTTTTTTTTGCTGTTAAAATGTGTTATAATATTATCATAAATTTGTACGTAACTTAAACTTTTATGATCAGTAAGAAAAAAGAAGAGAGACTTCTATATACAATCCAATATTATAGGGTTATTGAACTTATATTGGTGAATATTGGCACGAGTTGGCTGTTCAAATGCACGAGTTGCAAGTGCATTGGAACAGCAAACTTGTGCCAATATTCACCAATATAAGTTCAATAACTCCTTTATTATATAGCTAAAACATTTCCACATAATTTATAATAATTATTCCAGCTAAAAAAGTCAAACTAATTTTTTTTAGTATCGGTATTCAAATTAACGTCTGTCCTGTAACCGTTCAATATCGCATCATTCCGATGACCCTACCGAGCGATATGATTTGCTTATTTAGGTTTTAATAGGTCTAATACGTACTAAATTTTTGATAAATAATTTCATTTTGTTTGAAAAATAAACACATCTAACCTAGAGGCCACTTCATTTCGTTAATTTAGCTCTGAGAATTTGACCAGACGACTTGTTTGTTTACAACGGGGCGTTCGATATTGAACGCTCGTGTTCGGAATGTTCCGGACATACTTGTATACATGTACATAATACAAACTCAGCGTTCAATAAAACGTCAAGATATTGAACGCTAAAATTCTCTAGATTTTTGGTAGTATTTTATTAGATATTTTATTTTAGCTATATAATAAATAGTTTAATATATAAGAAATCATTATCACAAGTACAGGACGGCGATAATGTAATTTTGATTAAATCGAAACATAAAATTTCTTCAATCGCTAATATAAACAACAGAAGTTTAGTAATGTTATTTTTTTCTGTCATTAAAATAGAAATTTACAATTTTACAACAAAAAAATCCGACGTCAATTTTGCAGCTCATATTGCTTTAAACAGTCATATTTCCCCGTCTCTTCATTTTTAAAGACATTTCATACTTACTTTACCCTTGAACAAAGCGCCATAAGTTTAAAACATCAATAACGTTATTGTGTGGACCCTGAGGTCTACGTAGAAAATATACAAGAAAACATTGTAACCATCAATTGTCGCCCGGGAAATAAATAAAGAAAACAATGGAAATGAGTCACCAAACCGCTTCAATATGTATGAAAAGGCATGCGTACAAAGGATGAAGACGATAGTCCAGTATATTTTGAAAACTTATAGTCAAATGAAAATCGAACAAAAACGATACCCTTTTTAAACTTTATCGATTCCTCAAGTAAATGTTGGGTGCATAAAATATAAATTGAAAAAAAGACTCATGCATCACATATTTCCAAAAATGGTTGTCACTTTCAGAATATAAAACACGAACTGTGTGGAGTTCGTTTTTATGCGATAAGTAAAATTCGAGGTCCTAAAAAAAGGTGACCTTTCGTTTTTTTCGATAGTAAATGATAAGCAACTTTATACTTTTAATATCAAAACCATGTATATTTTTACAAATTCACTTTATGGCAGTAAATAATTTATGCATCTCTAAATTTATAGAGGGAAAGAACATTCCGATTAATAATCTTTTTAATGGTCAGAAAACCTTTAATTCTGCATAACTTCTCCCCCCTCAATCCCCATACACCAACAGTTAAACTTACATGTATATAACAGCCCGGTTTTCTAAGCGAGGTTAAACCGGATACCATGGGCATACGTAAGACTACGCATGCACGAGAACGCTAGAGTTCGTTAATAGGACAATTTGACCTCAGATCCTGATTTGCGCTTCACGTGTACCATCAGATCTATCTTTCCAAATAAAGATTTCTTCCGTGTTCTCCTGGACAGATCTCAAACCAAAGACGTTATGGATTACATGAATCAAAATATACTGTAGTCCGAATTTTTCAAATGACAAAACTATAGGCTAATCGGAGATGAAATCATAAAGTTTGCTATGAAAGTTCTATCAGTCAAAGTAGGCAGATCATTGAAGAAAATATGTAAACCAACCTATATGGATATTCGTTAAATCTAAATATTTTTCTAAAAGTGGATTTCGGTTAGGAACGCATGGATATAGCCCAGGTATTGCAATCCCTTTTCGAAGGATGTAGCAACTTGTTTTAATCATATGTTCTCTAAAAGGAATAATACATTGTCCGACTACAAAAACGTTAATTTTACGAAAAGAAAGAACATAAGTTGATATCATACGGTTGTTCACAGATGAGATGACAGCTTCTGGTACAATACTGATCGTTCCAGTAGTAAACATAGTGATACAGGGGATCATTTAACAGATTGAGACAGTTTTCGTTCGGAAGGTAGTGATTCGGCTCTCCTGGTCCCCAGTTGGTGTACTCAAATGGCTTTTGCGAAGTCACCCACGACCAATTTCTCCTGCCCTCGTCATTAGAACCTCCCAGCCAGAAACAATTATCTACATAATAAATTATTGGCGGTAAAAAAGGACCAATCTCTGATATTGCAAGTTAAAAGGCCAAGTTATCCATCATGATGACGGTTAAATCTCATTTTTTGTTTCATAATTAATTCAATATATATAATAGAAATATTCCTTCTTTAAATAGTCTTTTAAATCAATTAGATGTCGTTTACATCTGATGTTTCGTGGAAACTGGAATGTGATAAGTTTTCCCATTGCTTTCAATTCTACGAGAAGAAAATTGATACATGTTAATTACTCTATTTACTTTTCCTCTTACTTGTAAAATTGAAGGCTACAACGTTTTGTATAATAAACTTGTCTTCCAATGCGGATTCAATTTCCACTAACTTTGATCCTCTGTGTCTGCAGTAGTCCTGCATGTGTTAATACAAAATATACAAAACAACAGTTTTTTTCTAAATTAAATGACCATATTTATCAATTTAAGGCTATTGTTTGTGTTTCGACAACTTCGAATATTTAAAAGGTGTTTAATTGATCTTTTATGAAACTTTCGGTAGGGAATTGCAATCGTCATCATTATCAACAAAAACATCTTCATCCTGTATTACAATTATCATAATAATTAAACTATAAACAAATGTAAGAGAACAAAAACAATTACGTCATTTTAACACTGGAGACGTACCCGGGCATGCTGCCAATTCATGTGAAGGTCACTGAGAAAATTGTAGCAGTCACCATTAAACCCTTTCCAGTTCGGTGGACAATAGTTTTCTTCACTGCATATACGTATCCCTTCAGATGAAAGTAACAATAACATGTTCTCTTGAAGTAATCTTGAAAATTTTGAAAAAAATTAAATGATATTTAAATGAATAGCAAATCCATATAAAGAATTCTGATTCCGAAAAATTCAAACAATTTGCAGGGATTTCTAATCAACATTCTTTTTTTTTTATTATGTGTATTTTTAACATGAAGTGTTTCTTAATACTACAAGGAAACCATCTTAACGTTCATGTATTCATCTCTCATTTGATTAAAGCTATCGAAAAAAATTAGTCGTTAACTTTACCTATTAATGTTCCGAAGAAAAAGTATAGACGTTGAAGTTTGGCGTACATTTTCTGTTTTGTTGGGTTCCTATGTGCTGTTTAAACAAGTTTATAAAGATAAGCGTTCTTATTATATAGTCTATTTATAGTCCCTATATAATCTATACAAGCGCAAAAAGTTCATAACACTACATATTCACCGTATTTGAGGCCATACTTACAGGACGGTCAGTGCGCATGCAGGGGCATTGTGACGTCACAATCAACGCTGTAAACAACGCTAAAAACAATGGTTGCAAAGGCCGAAGCAAGCTGTGTATCTGAGAAGGAAAAAAAATTGGAAGACAAACCTATTGTAGGATTATTTTTAAAAAAAACATTTGGACGTCTTACACATTGCAAAACTCGAAAAGGGAAACACGGAGGATACGAACTGTAATCTGGATTTTTTTAAAATTTTCAACAAAGGCATTTCGTAAATGAAAATGGTGTCGTCATGCAGCCGTCAATGTTTTTTTTTTCAAATTTGGACTATATAATAAAACAATTATGGACTGTTTTGGTGTTCAATATATTTTGTTATTAACCAGAAAAATATCAATATTGACCTCGGCTCCACCTCGGTCAATATATATATTTTTCTGGTGAATAACAAACTATATATTCAACACCAAAAGAGTTCATAATTGTATAATATTATCATATGTCAGTTTTAAAATATATTTAATATTCCACAGAGTCAAAATGAATTTGAACTATCCTATAAAATACAATTCATATAATCACATTGTGTAATATCTGTGAAATGGTGTTTAAGTTCGAAAGATCTTGTAAACCACTACGCCTTCAGGTGCAAAGGGCACGCTTAAAGTAAAAATACTCTAAAAATAGGCAGATATTAACCGTTCACTGTCGCATTAAACATTTTTGTCGAAAGATTTCGAACTCAGAATTTATTGGTTCCTTTACATAGCAAAGGATCTTTAAAGTTATGTTTTAAGAAAAAAACATAAAGGCTGGATCCTCTCTACCAGCTAAATTACTCTTTACATGTTTCTATGAGCGCCGTTTAAATTTAGTCCACATTACGTAAATTTTATGTCTGTTATGATGACCTTATTATCCAATGTAACATATCAATGGCTCATACTTGGCCGACGTGCAGGAAGTGGCCTATTGCAAAAAGAGGATGAAACACAGAACCCTGGAAGTTCAAGGGGTGGGATAAGGTGTCTGGGTAGGTAAAGTCCCAGCTTAATTTATCAGTGAAACATAGATAAACATGACTAGTAACGAACACTATTCAAGCTCAAAGTCTCCATGTCAGAACAAACACGAACTTTCAAAAACATCAGAAGGGTCATTCGTAATTTGAATATGAATATCCAGTATTCCTATGTCAACATGTAACATGCTTGCGAAATTACAGTGTGTACCACATAAACATAAAAAAATTATTTATCACGTAAATGTGAACCTAAGAATTAAATTTGCTGGATGTTGAAATAGATATCTTCCTTGCACTTGTCCTTAATATTATTAAGTTTTTTGACAGTAACGTAAGTCCAAGATGTTTTCCATTTTAAATGACTATGATCCCTCTCCATTGCTAAAATATTTGCCTTGATAGATGGTACATGTTACATGTTGATATCATAAAACTCCATTCCAATGTACCATATTTTGTAGAAAAATGATACAAAATCCTTCAATCGAACATTGTACTTTGAAGTTAAATAGCAGAGGAAACTTATCCCCTTCCAATACCAATCTGATTTTATCTATGGAGGACAAGGGAACTAGGGTTTATTTTAATTAAATAGATCGGAATTACATAGCAGACAAAGTTTAAAGTCAATTTAGCTATAGAAATGCGGGGATATTTAAGATAAAAATCGGTGAAAATTTAAATTTGAACGTAAAACAATTAATCTCGTATTTAAAAAAATATTTTTAAGCTCAGACACGGCATATATAGCTTTAACAACTGATAAATTGAAAATCAATTTAAAGTGACACACAACAACTTCCGTGCTCTTTTCATTAAAAAAAAAGTCATTTTTCGACTTCCATTTGACCCCCAGGGTGAAAATAAAAATTCCAAAACCTTACTGCACATCTACACAACACCACCAACCATGTCCTAAAAGATGATTTGTAACAGAAGTTTGAGGCAGAAAAGTGTGACAGCCGGACGGATGGACGGACATAAATAACAACAATATACCCGAACTTATACGGGCATAAAAACACAACAGAGTCTGTAACATCTGTTTCACATTTCAATGTTTTGCAATCTACAGAAGATAAAGGGCAACCAACAAATAAATTGTGTGACAAGCGTGATCATTTCAGCTTTTCCGTTACGTCCACTTTCCAGACTTATTTTGTAATATTTCCATTTCCAATTGTTTTCTCTATGATAAACACTACAAAAGTGTATCTTGTTAATTTCATGATAATACCCTGTGGTATGTATATTTCTCTATTACTGAAAGGTCAGGTGTCAACCTGCATGTATATCACTGGCGTATAAATATAAAAAAGAAAAAATAGATGTTTTGTTTAATTGTTTACTAAGTAATTTGATATGATATATCTTTTTAACAAACAAAATAAATAATGAATTATCTTCGGCTCGAAAGCAAGTCACTAGCGCAACGCTGTCCACTCTCACCGAGGCCTCGCGAGTCCGAGAACTCCACTTCCGTAACAGCCACGTGGAGAAATTGACATTGCCACATGGATCTGCACGTACTCCATCATCTGATACAGACATCGTCCCTTAGTCATTACCATCCGACTTCTTAAGCAACTCAACTTCTTCTGTTATTATAACATCCATACAAATCGGTTTCCTGACCATACTGACCAGCTCCCGTTTCATCAACTGCAAAATTGCATTCAATTTGGCGGCGGAGAAGTGACATAGTGCTGATATATGTTCGTGCTTCCGACAACCTAAATCTAGGTCACATATATAATTAAAGTCAACAAGATTTCTTTGATCATCATTTAAAATTCTTTTGTTGTTTATTTTATAAATGTTGATATTTGACAACGGTAAATATAAATAGTCAATAAATTTGTTTCGTGTTTTTGGGACTATTTTTTATAGTAAAATTTGACGTCATGGGGCCTTGTGCATTTCAAATCTACTCAATTAGACGGTATTTCGATTTATTTTAAGATGGTTATTTCAAGTAAAAATGGAAATATAAGGAATCACTGTCTAGTTTTGAGGGTATGCCAGGGACATCAACAATAGTGGGAAACATGGGATAATTTTAGCATAACGGGCTTCGCCCGTTATGCAAATTATCCCATGTTTCCCACTATTGTTGATGCCCTGGCATACCCTCAAAACTATACAGTGATTCCTTAAATATTCAGCTATCACCTGTTATGGTGTTTATGTCTCACAATCTTTTGCTCTGCAATATTCTACTCCATGTACGATCAATTTATAAAGAGGCTGGCAGGCTACTCACTGATAAGCTGAAGTTACAGGGATATTTAACAACCTCGTCGGCTTTTCGTAAATTTTATGGCAGTTGTTACCAAGTATAAGATATCACTGAGTCGTATTTTGGCCCTCATGTTTCATACCTTTTGTAAGGCCTTTGTTTATATACTGTGATTTCATCAATTTTCGTAGCCATCATGTATAGTGGATTTCGTCAAACAGAAGTTTTCGAGGATACGTAATTTTGTGGAAAACAACATTGCCATCACAAATGAATAATAGTTTTCTTAATTCAATGCACGTCAAATTTCATGGATCTGCTTAACAACGAAATCCTCGAAAATTTGTGCTCAACGAAAATTGATGAAACCCCAGTATATTTAATTGACTACGGAATATTCCTCTTTTTGGGACCCGTTTTAAAAAGAACTTACGAGAAGGACCAACAACTGAATTCAGTTAACTGTAAAATTTGGAAAATTCATGATTTTGTTTAATATTGCTAATGTAACGTAACATAGCTTTTAAGAAGATTGCAACCATTTTCTATTTAATACAAATTAGAAATTTATTAGCAAATAAAAAAAATAAATTTAAAAGTTAAATGGGCTCATGGTGTAAGTTTCTGGTTAACAAGGGATGTTTCCTCCTCAGGATTTTCTTGAAGGTCATTCTTGTGCCCTTAATCCTTACATATTTGTATTGTTCATGGATTTTCTTTAAAGACACTTAACGATATAAATTTTCCTCTTCATTAATAAGAACATCCCCATATTTTCATACTATTATAGTAGCAAGGTGGTCACAGTCAGTATCTATTGCTGTAAATGTATTTTATTTGGCATGCATGATATTTAGCGGAAATTGAATTTTGAACAAGTTAGCGGAGAATTAATTCAATAGCGCATTCTCTAATGTATTTATTTTTAAGTATATGTGCAAGGTATTTAGCGTGTACTTGAATTAGCAGAAGGTTTTATCCACCAACGGCGCTAAAGAGATTACACAGCCAAATGCAATACCCGGGTACCTTTACAGCATTTTTTGGTCAGCTACATAAATGAAATTGCCTGTACATGGCTAAAATACTGCAGGGAAAATTTAAACAATAATCTATCAGTCATCTTGTGCATTATTCAATTGCCATATACAAAACGACCTCAATATTCCATTACAAAATAGTCTTTTCAACTTTCAAACAAGTACGCGACGTCGAAGAAATGTATTGTCGAAGTGGAAGAGAAAACTATTGAGGTTCTTTAAAGAATGTTTTTGATTTTAAGCTTTCTCACAATATCTTGACTTGAAACTTAAAACCTTAGAAAACGAGAACAAATGAAAATTTCAAACACATACCGTAATTTTATTGCTACATGAAGTATAAGCTTAGACAGTTTATTTAGAATGAAAAAAAAGAAATAAAAGATACAGCCTCATTCATCCGACTAATGATCCTTCAATATTACCTCTGCAAAAGAAAGATAAAAGCATCTATTTACTAAAAGCTTTAAAATAATACATAAAATATAACGAAGTACCAAGGTCTCGATTATCCACATCTATGAAGTATGGTTGAATTGTCTAGTTTCATCAAATATCATACATTTCTGTGAAACACTGCACAAATCTTGGCTCAGAATCGTGGATGTAGTGTGCTTTGAGAATAAGCGTGATCTAATTTGCCACGAGTTTTCTACTACGGATAAGAAATACTGGGTATTTTTATATATGTTTGATATTGATGGATTAGCCTCATCGAAATAAGAAATTGATAACTTTAGATCAGAAATCAGATAGAGGTAGGCACGTCAATTACTTTCAATTAGTTTCAATTACTAGGATCCTGCAGGGGATTTCATATAACATGTTTTCTCAGTAGAATGCATAAGAGTTTTTTCGGACATTTACGGAGCCATATCTACCCTCATAGTAAATGCCAAGAGATCTACGTAATGTTATGTTTTTTTCTCCGTCTCGCCATTTTTAAAGAATCTCTTTTACCCTTGACCAAAGCGCCGCAATTAAAACATCCATTAAGATATTTTTTATCTTTTTTAAAAGGAATAACACATGGTCTGGCAACAAAATTATTAGTTCTACGAAAAGAATAAATGCATAAGTTGATATCATACGGTTGTTCACATATCAGATGACAGCTTCTGGTACAAAAATCATCGTTCCAGTGGTAAATATAATGGTAATGGGCATGGTTTAAAAGATCGAGGCAATGTTCGCTATGAAGGACCTGATTCGGCTCCCCTGGTTCCCAGTTAGTGTACCCAAATGGTGTTTGCGAGGTCACCCACGACCAATTTCTTCTGCCCCCGGCATCAGATCCACCCAGCCAGAAACAGTTATCTACATGTTAATGTATTGGCGGAAGAGGATGAATCTCTGATATAAGAAACTAAAGGCAAAGTCATTCATAACGAGGAGAGTCAAATATCTGATTTTTTTAAATACAAAATTAATTTATAGTGATATTTTTTTCTTTGAAAAGTCCTTGAAATCTATTATTATTTCAACTATTTGAATATGAGGAAATATGATGATCATTTCAAAATTGAAATACATATTAATTAATTTAAATTTCCTCTTACCTGTAAAATTGAAGGCTACAACGTTTTGTATAGTAAACTTATCTTCCAAAGCAGATGAAATTTAATTTCTACTAACTTTGATCCTCTGTGTATGCAGTAGTCCTATCATAATACAACATACTGTGAATGTATTTGTTTGGTGTGTACGATATTTGGCGGAAATTATTATATGGATATCATTTTTAACTTTACGAAGTATCTTTTAACGTCATACAATGACAGACTATCTCGTATAACTTTTTGATATGATATTTTGAGCTGTCAATTTATCTTAAAAACTTACCAAAGACAAATCAATACTTATTCATATTATGATGTGTTAATGTAAACAGCAACTATCAAAATATTCAAGATCAATTAACTTTAAGTTATGTCAGAAGAATTGTGTTAGAAGTCTAATGATGACACATTTCTAATAACCTTACCCAGTAATAGTGCGTTGAAAAGAAGTATGTTTAATATTTTTTTGTTTTTCTTTATTTCCAATGACGGTATCTTTGTGCACAGTTTTGTAAGTTTGCAAAGATTAGATTATATATCTTATGAATTGTGTCAACGTTATTACAGTATATGCTTCTAATTATAAACAGATGAAAAATAATCACTAAAGTGGATAGGAGGGCAATTTGAGAATTTTGTACGGAATTTTTTAATGAACCCACAGAAATTCCAGAGATGGATTTGAAAGAATCCAGTTTTGGTGTATAAGAATCCAGTTTTGGTGTGTAAGAATCCAGTAAGAATCCAGTTTTGGTGTGTAAGAATCCAGTTTTGGTGTGTAAGAATCCAGTTTTGGTGTGTAAGAATCCAGTTTTGGTGTGTAGGTTCCGAAGTTATATACTAGATGAATTTAGTAGACACATCAGAAAATTACAAGATTTTGGACGGATGAAACAGAATTTAAATATGATCACACGATTTTAGAAAAGTATTTATATTTTGTCATACTAAGTATTTAAAATCTTTAATCCTCGTCTTAGATAAATTTTAACACTTACCTGATCAGTAGTATATATTTGATTGAAATAAGGTTCAAAAGAGAGGACTATACTCAAGCAGACTCAAGCAAGCTGGTTTTCCCCAAATATTTCGGACTAAAAATGTTATCTGTAAAACAGATGCTATTAACTATAAAAAGCGTTTTGAAACGACCAAGAAGGACATTATATGAAGGGTAGGGGTGAATCTGGAAAAAGGCGTTACGGGTTTGATTATATTTTTCTTGACACTCACCGTAAATATAAAGTTTAGACTTGTTAATTGATCTTGGGGAAGTTGAATGGAATTACCAAATTCTATGGAATGACAAATCCTTAGGATTCAGTCGGTTTCTTTTGTAACACTTCTTGCTGTTTTCAACATTTTCATATTTTAGCTGCACTGCTTCCTAAAATAATTGCAGTAATGTACGCGCTTAACTCGGAATAGACAGAATTTAATTAGAAGGTTTATCGCTTTAACGTGTACCTAGTCAGCATCAATATGTTGGCCCAATGTAATGCCAACAATATTCATTTTGTTGGCCCAACGTTGCATACCAATGTTGGTTCAATGTTTAAGTGCAAAGTGGGCTCATGTTGGGCCAACGTATTGGCTTTGCGTTGGCCCCACATTAGACGCCGATTGCATGGATGTTGGCCCAACCTTGGATATATGTTGGGTCTACGTTCTAGACTACAAATATTGGACTTATGTTGGCCTAGTATGTCTTTTACATTGGCCCAATGTGTCTTTAACGTTGGCTTAGAGTTTCTTTTACATTGGCCCAGCGTTCCTCTAGCTTGCATCGGCCCATGTTTCTCTGATGTTGGCCCGGTGTTATTTTCACATTTGCTTAGCGTCTTTTTAAGTTGGCCCAGAGTTTGTTTTATGTTGACCCAGTGTTCTCAACCAATGACTCATATTTTTAATTTCCAATAAGTGGAAGAAATAACAAGAATAAGATAATTTGATACGGTTTACTAATTAAATCATTTAAATGAATTAAAAACACTAAATCAAAAATTAAAATTAAAAACTAAATTAAAGTCAAAGGGTAATAATGATAATTCACCAGATACCACGCAGGGGTAATAAGGAAGCATACAAAATATTCTACCTTGGCTAAATCAGTGCTGCATTATGACGTCATAGTAGACAAAATGACGTCAATTTTAGAAATCAGGTTTTCGTAATATGGGTATTTAGCGATGTAATTTAACTCTAGAAAATGATTAGATTTATTACATACTCAAAGAAATTATCAAACTCCGGGGTATTGTTGTTCTGTAAGCCTTTTTATTAAGGAAAAGTTTGCTATTAAAAGAAGTCACGTGATGCCGTGGCGGTGATGCAGGTCTTTGTGTTAGACACGCTTTTATCTGTATGCAATAGTAAACAACAATTTACGTTTATCAGTGGTTTTGGTAATTTATTAAACTAAATTTTCTTCAAAAAGTCTAAATTTCCCGAGGAATTACTCATATGCTTCCTTAACATACCCGCGCAAAAAAATTCAAAGTCATTTCAAGGCCATTCATCGGTTGGTCTCCTTCTATTCTGCTGCCGTTTTTTGATTCCTCTCCTTCCTACCCCCATCCCTATCGCAAGAGTATCGTAACCAGTCCTTTTCAGCATCTTCGATATCTTTGTCTTTTGCATCTTTGCAACATCCATTCTTTCTCACAGTTACTGTCAAAATAAGATACTGTGATTTTATTTGTTATGTGAAAAAAAAAATTTAAATACTGAAAACTGCACACTACAGAGATCTATTTTGTAGGGTAATTTTATGTCACTAGAGTGATCTGCCCTTAGAAGTAAGATAGAAAAATATTGTTTCGGTATTTACAGGTAATTACACAATTTATGTTGGATTAAAATATTCTAAACATTATATTACACAAACTTAGATAAACTAATGTACAAATTATAATACAAATGTGTTTTTGGTTAACTTTACTAGCAATCATTTTGATGACAAGATATTTGTGCAACATTATGTCAAAAGTATGAAAAAATTGTAATCTTAGCTCAATAAATTAATGTGACTTTGATGCATTACCCTTGACACATGTCTGATCTTTGACAATTAGACATATTTTTCATGTTTAACTAAATTTGTAAGTTGTCGATCCACACACATACAAACAAACAAACCAAGATCAGTATATCTTGGGAGTAGAGAATAATATTTTAAGATAATGTAAAAAAAAAAATACTCACACAGCAACACATCTTTCAATGAGAAAAAGGAGAATGCTCTCTTAATTATCATCCCTCCCTAACCAGTTCCTTAATTTCTTTGCATGAAACTCATAATTCTCCGTACACTTTGTTTTGTATTGTCCCCTCTAAGGTGGCAGAGGATAGTTTTTTTTGCAATCAAAACGTTTGACTGACGGTTTACTTAATATTGAGCTGCTTTAAAAATGTGCATTGAAAAATTTTAAATTCCCTCTACATGTAATAATAGTATGAAGTAGTCCCTTGAGAAATTTGAAGCTTTTAGGAATAAAACATGTACAACTTACACAATGAGCCCTAAAGATGGCGCAGGGACAATCTCAAAATTTCATGTGAATCAAGCCTATTTTCACTATTTCGCCGCAGCCGCATCTGCTTCCAGGCCCGTGCGCCTGACCTAAGCTACCACACAAATTGCAGAATAACATTTGTACATACCAATGAACAGCAAGAGATAATGGCTCAACCACCTCGTTTTCAAGCTACAATTCATCCTGTGAACCCACCCCGCTTTTCTGGTGAAATACCGGTAGAGCGAGTTTTGAGCTTAGTTTCGTATTTCTAGTCCATATCCCATATACAGTAGTAGTGACACTAAAGTGTCTTATTTCAATAAAATATACAAGGCCACCATTTCCCTCCAAATGCACCCATAAAATATTCTAGCTATAAAATTACCTATAATATGCATTCAAACCTCAGGTTTCTCTATTTTTTCTATTTTTTGACCGGTACTTTATTCGAAACTATCCTCTGCCACCTAATAGTTCCCAGTTTTCTTACCTAAAACGTTACCATGTGATTTTAATGCTTAATGATATTACCATAGCTCTTCAATAAATACTTCAACTATTTTTATTCGTACTGTTCATAATGGGTCGGTTTAATGTCAGATGATTATTTACAAAATTAAAAATGTATCAGACACAGAAATAAGAAATTATAAATGTATTTGGGAGTCACACATACTTGGACTTTTCCGGTTAGTATCGGAAAGACATGAGATCGCTGCACAATTTTTTAGGACTTTTTTTGTCTGAGACCTTATTGAAAGTACAGAATACTGGTCTAAGGGAACTAATGTTATAGTATTTATAGCATCATAATTCAAAGTTTGTAGACAAGGAAATAGATTTACATGATAACGATATCACTTATAAAGATTACACATATATGCACGTGTCTCTATCAACAAGGATCGCCCCCTTCCCACGTTCCCCCATGCATTTGCGAAAATGGAGCGTTGTGTGTTTTAATGAGTTAATTATTTTATATATATATATATATATATATATATATATATATATATATATATATATATATATATATATATATATATATATATATATATATATATATATATATATATATATATATATATATATATATATATATATATACATATATGTAATAGATATTGGGAGGACATCGGATATATAATAATCACCTTTAGGCAGACGCAAAAAATATGGCAGACAAAAATGTGTCTGCCTTATTTTGAAAGCAATAAAAAGTGATGTGTTAATAA